CCTTGGAGAGGGGCAGCAGCAGCAGCATCCACCCCGGCACGGGGCCTGCCCTGCTCACCCCGGGGGAGCTCGGAGAAAGCTTAAGCCCTCCGTCTCTCCCGTGGTCAGATGGAGGCTGCCCAGAGGCGCTGATCGCAGAGCCCTCCCCTTCGGTCATTTTCCCCATCCTCCCAGTTTGAAACCGAAGCTTTTCTTTTGAAAAACAGGAGAGGGAGGTTTTGTTGTCAAACACAGGTTTTTCCTTCCCCGTAATGCAGACTAGCAGTGAAAATGATCCCTTGCAACAGCCCAGGCTGGGAACTGACTGGCAGGGGAGCAGCTGTGTGGAAGAGGCCTGAGGGTCCCGGAGGACAGCAAGCTGGGCACAGAACTTCTTTTTTTAACCTACATCTTCCCTTCTTTGTATAAAAGGTGGCAATTTCAATATCTGTCCCTGTTCTGAGCGGGCTGGCAGCAGCCTGGGCTGAACAAACAGCAACGCAGCCAGCCGGTCAAAGGAAGCGATTAGTTCGCACTCGTTGGGTGGTTAGAATATGGCAACTGGTTTTGGGCTCCTCAGTGTAAGGAGGACATTAGTGAACTGGAGTGTGTTCAGCAGAGAGCCAGCAAGATGGTTGCAGGCTGGAGCATGTGCCCTGTGAGGAGAGGCTGAGGATCTGGGACATTTTCAGCCCAGGGAAGACACAGCTTTGGTTGGACCTAACAGCAGCCTGCCAGTACCTATGAGAAGGTTGTGAGGAAGAGAAAGCCAGGCTCTTCACAGTGGGGTGTGGTGGCAGAATAAGAGGCAATGGGCATAAGTTGAAACAAGAGAGGCAAAACTGGACGAAAAACATTTTTTCCCATGAGGCAGTCAAGCAATGGAGCAGGCTGCCCAGAGAGGCTGTGCAGTTTCTCACCATTCTGGGAGATTTTCAATACCCAGCTGCAAAAAGCACTGAGCATACTTGTCTGACCCCATTGCTGATCCTTGGAGCAGAAGGTTGGACTAGAAACCTCCTGAGGTTCCTTCAAACTTGAATTGTGCTATGGTTCTAAAATGCGAGGTTCTTTCAAACTTGAATTGTGCTATGGTCCTAAAATGCACAAGCTTTGAGAGATCTAGCCTTTTGGTATTCCAGGAGGAGAGTGGGTGAGAGCTGGCTTTTGTACTTTCATGTTTAGGGCAGTCACATGGTGAGGGAAATCTTTGTTTATTTGATAGATTTAAAATTTTTGGAGTAGCTTATTGCTTGAAGTACACATTTGGGATACATATTTCAATTTCTTGATGTTGAAAAAGTGCAATGAACTTTCTCTTTTTTTAACCTACATCTTCCCTTCTTTTGTACCCCATTCTGATTTAATGTGCTTTAACTGCCAGATGATTGTATAAAAAGTGACAATTTCAATATCTGTCCCTGTTATGAACAATGGGTGACTGTGATTTGCAGTTGTGGACATAGGCCCTTGGACTTCTTACTTCACTTTAGAAAGCAGGTACCCAAAAGAATTCCAGATGTTAAAGGATATATTCTAGGTCCTGCAGGCTCTTGCTGGCAGAACTGGGAAACAAGTGTGGCTCTCGGGGTGGCTGACTGATGATAGTAACATGCTTTTCTGTCAGATCATTTCACAGAATCATAGAATCGTTTAGGTTGGAATAGACCTTTAAGATCATTGAATCCAACCGTTAACCCAGCACTGCCAAGTCCACCACTAAACCATGTCCCTAAGCACCACATCTACCCGTGTTTTAAATACTTCCAGGGATGGGGACTCAACCCCTCCCTTGGGCAGCCTGTTCCAGTGCCTGACTGCCCTTTCAGTGAAGAAATTTTTCCTAATATCCAACGTAAACCTCCCTGGTGCAACTTGAGGCTGTTTCCTCTCATCCTATTTCTTGTTACTTGGGAGAAGAGACTGACCCCCACCTCGCTACAACCTCCTTTCAGGTAGTTGGAGAGAGCGATAAGGTCTCCCCTCAGCCTCCTCTTTTCCAGACTAAACAACACCAGCTCCCTCAGTTGCTCCTCGTAAGACTTGTGCTTCGTTGCCATTCTTTGGACATGCTTCATGTTTTTCTTCTGAATCAGGTTAATGCATCCCTGATGTGAAGTAGTGGCGAATAAATCAGGGCTGAATTTTTCTTTTTAAATGTATGCTTTAAAAAAGATCCACAAACTTAAGGGAAAACTTCAGGAATACATTTTTTTAGAAGAGCATCCTAGGATATAATTTAACAGTCTGAGCATGACTGATGTTTTTTCTTTACAGCGTGTGCATGTTGGAACAGGCAGGCTCAGAGCTTCTAAAGCAGCAACAGAGGTAATCTTAAATGTTCCTGAAACTAGGGTGAGTCCTCTGGAAAATGGCTTGCAAGTAGCTTCTGAAGACTCTGGACTCTCAACGTGCACAGTAGGTAACTTGTAAAGGGAAGGTTTTTTTGTAACTGTTCATGTGTGCAATTTAATTCCACAAGGAAATGAACATTCTTTCAATGTTTATTAACAATTGTTCTTGAAACTTAAGCTAGGAAATAGAAGTCTTAAGGCTTTTGTAAATGATTTGTGATTAGAGTTTTCATGAAGATCAAAATTTTCTTTTTCTTGAAAACCTGCTTCGTTTAAGGAAAAAGCCATTTAAAAATAGGTCTTGAAAATCTAAGTGTAGTTCATATACAAAAACAGGAAAGCTGCATTGTTAGCTGGTAAAATGACTTCTTTTTTTTTTCCCCAATGAGGTTGGACTTTGGATTGATGCTGGAAGCAGGTATGAAAATGAGAAGAACAATGGAACTGCTCACTTCCTTGAGCATATGGCTTTCAAGGTGAGTATGAGTATTGATGTAGAAATTTACAATGGATTTCTAAGTTATATATCTTTAAAGATCAATGACAAGAACTTTGTCAGAATTGGGTAAATAAATTTTCCAAATCAATGAGTGAGGAAAAAAAAAAGTGGACAACTTAGACTTTGGTTTCCTTAGAGAATGTAGCTGAAGTCCTAGTTCTGTGTAGCCGATAAACAACTATAGATGAGTAACACAGGTCTAATTTTAACTCACTTTTAACTTCGTCTAATAGTCTTAGAAGACACTTAGTCCATCTTTTGCCGGCTTTTTATTTTAATTTGGGAGCATAGTAGGATTTATATCTGACTTTCAGACTTGGAGAGATTAGTATGCCAGTTTTCTTTCCAGAATACTTTTTCTTTCTCTTGACCTTGACTTTTCCAGACAAGAAGTAGTAATGATGAGTAGGTGAATTAAAGCGTCTAGTTTTATTTTCTTATTGTTTTATTTCAGGGAACAAAAAAGAGATCTCAGTTAGACCTTGAACTAGAGATTGAGAACATGGGAGCTCATCTGAATGCGTATACATCCAGGGAACAAACCGTGTATTATGCAAAGGCTTTTTCAAAAGACTTACCAAGAGGTAACTGCTTTCATTCATCAGAAAAGCAGCGAAGAATGAAGTGCTTATCCAGCTCCTGATGAGACAACACAGAATGATGCTTTTGCAGCGTAACAGTCCCTTCCTTCCTGGGTGAAAAGTCCTTTCTTGAACTTCACAGGAATGTGAAGGTTTGGAAAGGAGAGTGCCAGCTGATATTTGAAACATTGTTGTCTTTAGATTCCCAAAAGAAAATACCTTTTGGACTTCTCCTTTCCTGCAGAGCAAGTCTTTTGTACCCTTGCAAATCTTATTAGCAAATCTTGGGCCACTTGATCTTTGGGGTGGGTTTTACTTTTGGAACCAGACTTTTCTGGTAGCCTGAAAATACGCTTTCCATTCCTATCTCTGTTTTCAATTAGCTGTGGAAATTCTTGCTGACATAATTCAGAACAGCACCCTGGGAGAAGCAGAGATTGAGCGTGAGCGAGGAGTTATACTTCGAGAGATGCAAGAGGTTGAAACCAATTTACAAGAAGTTGTCTTTGATTACCTTCATGCTACAGCCTATCAGAAGACAGCCCTAGGACGGACGATTTTAGGACCCACTGAAAACATCAAGTATGTCCAAATTTGTGGCTATCTTTAATTGTGTGGTAACTTTTATAAAAGACTCATCTGACGATGTAGGGAACAGCGTCAGTTTTCATTTTTACCTGGAAGGTAGCTGAAATTGCACTGGATATAACTGTAATAAGAATCCCCCTATTGCCTTAATTCCCCTGTATGCAAGCATCAAAGGGTATGTGAACTTCAGATGTCTACCACATGTCTTCATTATTTATTTGCCGTATTTTTCTCCTGTTTGTTAAAAATGCATCTGACACAAAATTAGAAATGCTTCTTTTTCCCATCGGTCAGATGTTGGGCATTATCGTAAATACAACTGTGTCTGCACTGCTCTTTCAGCATTTGTTTATACCAGTGCAGCCCAGGAGACTGCTAAATGTGCTATTTTCAAATTGGCATGAGATCGTTAGTGGATCCTGTCGCCACCTGAGTGAGTTGTAATTCTCATTCCTTCTCAGGAAGCTAGAAGGGCTTTGAAAGGCAAAATGTATCAAGTTCCTGTTTCCTTTTTAGGAATTCACCCTTATTTTAGCTTTCTGCCTCTATGCACAGCTCTGTGCGTTGGCAGAACTTACAGTAATTTTGATGTTGTATTGTTCTATACATTTAGCTCTTCTTACCCTAATAATCTTTACTGACACAGTAGTGATGTTCCCTTGATTGTTTCTAGATCCATAAACCGTAATGACTTGGTGGAGTACATAACAACACATTACAAAGGACCCAGAATGGTCCTGGCTGCTGCTGGAGGTTAGTATGAGATATTCACCCTGGATCATGTGAAACTGTACTTAAAACCACGGTCTTTAAGTTTCTGGGGACAACATGATGAATTACCCATTGTTCAGTAGGTTCCGGAAGTTCATTGTTAGCCCTGCATGTTTTGTGCCTTCATACCCTTTGAACTTTTGTTCCCTTTTCCCCTCAGTAGTATTCCAGAAACATTCTTAAACCAGTAATTAGAAGTAAATTGTACGCCAAGGTCATTTTTCCATGTGGGCAGGAAAAGAGGGGCCTAGGAGGGGTTCAGTGTGAAAAGGGGAGTAGCAAGGAAAGCAGAGGAGAAATAACATTAGGCTTGAAACTGAGAGCAAACAGCTTGATTTGATGTAATATTAATAGAGGGCCATTGAAGAGAATTAAGGAGGGGGATAATGATGATCTTACTCTGTATAACGGGGAGGTGTGAGGAATCTGAAAGTGTGGCATTGAAGCTGGGGAACAATAAATTACTGCTTGGTTGAGTCTTTAAACTGCACAGCAATTTAAATTAACTGTTTACAGGGTAACATTACAAAGTGTGTGAAATGTCTTTGTTCAGGGGTCTCTCATGATGAGCTCCTTGACCTAGCAAAGTGCCACTTCGGTAACTTGCCATCTGCTCCGGAAGGAGGACTGCCACCCCTGCCCCCTTGTAGCTTCACAGGTAGTGAGGTAAGCTGTTAGATGGCTTTTTGAGCTGGCCCTTATATCCCCTGTGACCACAACTGACACGTCCTCTCTGCTGAGGAGAGAGCTTCTCGGCCACAGAATCAGCAGGTGAAAAGGTTTCTTGCCCCCAGTGAGGGCAATGGAGTAGCTGCTTTCCAAAGCAGTACTTTCCAACCTGTCTTGGACAAGCCTCGCTGCTGCCACTTTTTCTGCTTTATCAGTTCCTGGAGGAATACCTCCCTTACCCCTGCTGCTACTTTCTTTTTATCCCCTTACCTACAGTGTTGGAGCATTTCCACTTGTTGAGAATCACTAATTTAAAGGGTATGGAAGAGAACAGAGGCATCTGTGTTCTGTTCCCAGCTCTATTTGGATTTTGAAAACTCATCAGTTTTCCTTGCTGCTGTTTGTCATAAAATGACTTGTAATGCCCTCTCTGTGTACATGGCTTTAGGCTTGCTGTTGGCCAAAATGCTCTGAAATCGCCACAGGGAAGACTAGTTAAGACCGATGTTAAATAAAGCTACACGTGCTTTAATTTTTGGTTCTCCATGTGCATGCTTTATAATTCAGATGTGATGGAAATATCTGTCTCCTGACAGTGAACTTCCCGTGTACATTACCTTGTACGGGTTGGTACTACAGCTACTTTCGTATGTTCCCACAGATTCGTATAAGAGATGACAAGATGCCCTTGGCGCACATGGCGATAGCCGTTGAAGCAGCTGGCTGGTCGCACCCAGATACAATCCCACTTATGGTAGCGAATACTCTGATAGGTAACTGGGATCGTTCCTTTGGAGGAGGCGCGGTGAGTGAACCTGCAAGCACCTTCCTGCTCTTAATGAGGCTGGTGGGCTGGTGAGATCGCTCCGACTTGGGTACTGCCAATACCGACCCATTCAAACCTGTCTGATGGCGTTACTGCTACTTTATGGCTATTTCTGAAGGTCCTTTTTTGGACTGGGAGAGGGGGATCCAGTGGTGAGTCTGAGAGAATTTGTTGCCCAAGATCTAGGAAGATCTTAGGAAGTGGTTTTAAACCACCAAAATAGAGGTGACTTGACGTCTGACAGCCCTCTTGGAAAGTAGGATGTTTCATACCTGTAGGTCATCAGAACGTGTGGGTATCAGTAACTGTCCCTTTCTTGAACCTAAGTAGCTTTAGGATTTTGGCTTAAATCTGGGCTGTTACTTGGAAACATGAGATTACATGCAAGGAAAGAAGCTGTTGAGATGAAGAGCTGAAAACTAACCTCATAGCTTCTGCTGGAGCCTGAGATACTACTGTATGTTCCATCACTGAAATGAAAACAGGAGACCATGGATGTAACTAGTGGGCTTTCAAAACACTTCATAAAATAAATAATATATTCTGTTTTGCCTCAGCAGAATTTATCCAGTAAACTTGCTCAGATTGCCTGCCATGGTAACTTGTGTCACAGTTTCCAGTCCTTCAACACCTGCTACACTGATACAGGGCTCTGGGGACTCTATATGGTCTGTGAGCCATCCACTATACAGGACATGGTGCACTTTGTTCAGAAAGAATGGTAAGCTAACAGCTCTTTCTCTAAAAAGATTGTTTTCAGTGGAGGAATACAATTTTAAAAATAGCAATCATTTAAAGAGAATATTTTTTTTTCTCTGCTTAGGCTTGCCTGGAAAAAACAAATGCATCAAGTTCTAAACTTTGACACTGAATGCAGAGTCCCAACAGCCAGTTTCTGGCAGCCTTACTCGGAGTGAATAGCTTAAGGTTTAGGTTTGGTTTTCTTTTTCTGCCCTGGAAGAATGAATAGTAACTGTGGTTAATATAATAGCGTTCCTTGTACAAGAAAATATAGCAGTGATTTTTTTTTTGACTTGGAAGTGACAGAAGTTATGAAAATGTGTCAAACCTTTTAGAATACTACTGAGTGATTGTACAGTGCCCGTGAACTGCATGATTGACAACTGAAAGAGTAAATATTCATGAATGAGAATAACGAACATGCAGTTACCTACAAACACCATAAGCAGTTCCCCGTTCTGCCATTGCTATCCCACATGACGTACCAGGTGGTGGTGTTACATAGAGCCCTAGTGAGTACACAGGGAAATGAAATGATGTAAGGTAGGTGAGCTGTTATATACAGAATTTTGAAACCTGGGATCCTAGATAATACTCATTCATCTAAGGCTTATGTCTAAATTGAAAAGATGTCCATAGGTGCAACTGTAATGCTTGAACTGCAGATGTGATTAGAAATAGACATATGTTACTTAAGAACACTGATTTAAAGTGGGTGAAGTTGAAACAAAAGTTGAAAGAAAACTTGAAAATGAGGAGTTTCTTTAATCACATGGATCACTTCTCATATACCATTATTCTATGAGATCTTTGTAAACAATTTGTGGAGAAAAACGGCATCGTTTTGGCTGTTTGCTGCAGCTTAGCACCGGGGAAGATATGAACCATTCCTGTGACAAGAACATGTTAAGATATCTGGTGCATCCCCCTGTCCTGGTGAAATGGTCCTTATGCAGTGTGCTGAATTATTCTCTCACCAAGAGCCAGGACGTAATGGATTGCTTTCTAGGCTAATTACCTCTAATTGTTGGGCTCCTACTATCTCAGCTATAACAGCTATTCTCAAGATAGCGAGTATGGACTACACTTTGCTCAAAATATTCATTTAATAAAATGAAATACAGCTCTTCTAAGGGGAAAAACTTGCTCTTGGGTATATTGGTGTGCTTCCAATAAGCGCTACTCTTATGCTGCTGCTTTGCATCCTATGGCTTGTTTCCATACCAAACTCTCTTACCAGCTCTGTCTATAGAAAAGATGTGCCTGGTAGGTGTATTAATATATATGTACCTCTTTATCACAGGCAATCTTGGGTGCTACAGGTTACCATTACTTAATGCCTTTGGATTTACACTATTTTTCAGGATAAGACTTTGCACAAGTGTTACAGAAAATGAAGTAGCCCGGGCAAAAAATCTTCTAAAGACAAATATGCTGCTACAACTTGATGGTGAGACTTATGAGAGCTTTTTATTTTCAGCGGAGTTGTATGCTGATAACTGAAGCATCTTTTCCCCTATTTTAGGGTCCACACCAATCTGTGAAGACATTGGAAGACAAATGCTGTGTTATAAGCGCCGAATCCCAATTCCAGAACTTGAGGCAAGAATTGAAGTAAGTGGCAGTCATGTTGCAACTGTTAAATTAGGCCCTTTTAATTGTATGGGAAGTAACATTACAGAAGTTAGCCTGTTTCCAACTGAGAAAATTTTCAACTGTTTTGTTGCCTCTTCCCCTGGGTTATACAAAATGAAGATCACTGGCTCTTAATATTTTTTTAGATGGAATTGGTAACAAAGATCTCTCTTTACCCCTTTTAGGCTATTGATGCCCAGACTATTAGAGAAATTTGCACAAAGTACATCTACGATAAGCATCCTGCAGTTGCTGCCGTGGGTATGTTGTATAAGTTTCCCTACCCTCCCGCAATCCCTCCACACCAATTGGTATCAGTTTAGCATGTGTCATGGCCAACTTTCTTTAACTTCCAGGTCCAATTGAACAACTTCCAGAGTATAACAAAATCTGCAGTGGCATGTATTGGCTTCGTGAGTAATGAATAACAAGAACTGTCAATATGTTTGAGCTTTAAAAAAAAAAAACCAAAAAAACCTGCACCCCCATTTAAAGCTTTTGAGTTGAAGAAATGCATTTGAGAAGATTAAAACTCAAGAACCAGCCAGTCCTGCATATCTGTATAATTAAGGAAGGAATGAAAACATGTACAGTATTTGCATTTTTATTATAAAACAAAGATTGTCAGTAAGAGTCATTTCTTGACTTTAGTAGCATTCATCACTTGTTCTTGAGCAGCTTTCTTGGCCTTGACCATTTCAACGAGTTCCTGGAGAGTTGGAGGGAAAAAAAAAAAAGGTACTTATCTAAATGTGGAACTTGATAACGATGCTGTGGTTTTGAACACTACATATATTCAGCCTGAAACACTCTAGCTCTCAACATAGCAAGGAATCTAGACAGGTTAATACCTTAAAACAGTTCCTCTTAGAAACAAATAAATTAATGGAAGGTCAATGCTCATCTGCTTCCCCTGTTGCAGGAACTTTGCCTATAGGAGGCTAGGGATAGGACTTTACCATCTACAGGAGCTTGCTGTCAAATTGTAAGACAGATTTCACAAGACAGACTTCCCTTCCCAGCTGCCAGAACCACTACTTTCACTGAGGAAAACTTAGTCCTTAGTGCTCTTTTGGGGTTGAGTTACAAAACAAAAAAAAGTTTCTCCATAAGGCTCCATCTTGTGCTCGTTTGCTGTTGTCAGATACTGTCTCTGGTAGGGAGCGCAACAGTAAAAGCAAAGGATTCTAACAAGACCCGGGCTAATTACAATCCGAGAAGGAGGTGAGGCACCTTACCTTGTATCGCTTCATGCAGTCTTTTTTTGACCGGCCTGGAACAGCTGCTGCTATTTTCTCCCATCTTTCGGGAGTATTTACTGGATAAGTCTTCAATGCTTGTTCTAAAAGCTTTTGTTCTTCTGTAGTCCAAGGGGATGAATCCAATGGTGATCCTGTTTTTAAATGCAAAAATTACAGTAAGAAAAAAAATATTGAATAAGGTGTCTATGAGATAAGACTAAGAATATATTGTAGAATCTATTATAGTTGATTTAAAATCCTTACAGTTTTGTGATACTAGTCTGACCTAAGGGCTACCCAGTACTAAAAACCTGAAAGAAAAAAAAAAAAAACCCAACCCTGAAACCCCAAACCTGGATCACTTTCTTACTTGCTACATAAATTTGTTTGTAAGCAAGTCTTAAGTAAGTTTTGGATTACTTTCTTACTAAAATGCACAGGGGAGACAATTCTGCAAGAAGGGCTCCCTTTTCACCTTTACCTTCAAATCGTTCCGAAGGGGCAGCACTGTCCATCTGAGGCACCACACCATGTTCTTTTTTAAATTTGTCAAATGCTTTCTTGTTTATATCATCTTTTTGATGAGGGTCTATGAGCAACAGACATTGACTAGAGTAATCATTGCAACAAAATTAAAACTGGATGTAACAATAAAAACATTTTGTAGCAGATTTATTGCAAACTAATAATCACATAATCAAAAAACCTAATTCCTACTTCCTTTAAAATAATGTTAGAAAAGTTGGTAGATTTAAAAAAAAAAATCTTTCAGGGTCTAGTAAACTTTACTCAAAGTATCAAGTTCTCCAACCCCCACCCTGCTTTATACTGCTCAGATGAATACTTCCTCCGTATAAGCTTAAGCCTGAACCTGCAACTTCACTGAAATCAAAATAATATTCTCTCAAGGGCAGGCTGCAGCACAAAACTTACATATTACCCAGAGTACCAGTGTCTCAGAGGGGCAGTCAGGAACACTGGGAGAGCCTCCCAGGGTCCTCCTAGTGCAGGTATTGGAATGGAGAAACTCCTTAAACTTTGTTTTTTGGAATGTTTTGATTTTCCTTAAGAACTTACTCAAGAGCTTCCTCTCAGTATCCCAGCTCTCTAGGCTCCATTTACTATAAGAAGAGATGAGCCACATTAATTCAGGTGTCCGAGTCTGTTGCTGAATCCAATTCATCTTTTTAAAGTATCTCTATAGCTTCATCCATGTCATTTTTCTAGATGCCTTCCTTTGTAGAGAGCTTTTTCAGAGGCCAGTTTGTGTCTCTCTGAGTGCAGAGGAGCCTAGGCAATGCATGTGGCCTCGACATCTGTGCATCGAGTTAGATTAAAAGAATTCCTGAGATTCGCTCACGAGGTGGTAACTTACAGGATAGCTATTAGGTTGAAAAATACTGAGTCACATAAATGCTCCTCTAAATCTTCCATCTGAACTACGTTTCCTTTGGGGATATACAGAGGATTTTCTCATAATAGAAACACAATGCGGTTCAAAGAAAATCGAGCCGTACAGAAGCATGCAGACCATCTTATTACAAAAATAAGGTAATATAGATACCAAGCTTTTGGAGGCTCTTTGCTTTATTGATGACATCTTTTGCGGTTCGTTTTATTCCAGTAGTAGAGTGCAAGTTCATGTAATTGGCAATAACTTCCCACCTAAAGCAAGAACAGAAGGGGTAAACCAGCGTATTACATAATAGCTTATCTTCATACAAGCTACTTTCAAGCTCCCGTACACATTTATATCAACTCCTAAGTAAGTTTCATCATACTTAAACACATATAAACTGTCACGGTAACAATCCTGGAAAGCTTTCAGTCACTAAATGCAGAAGTTTCCCTTAAGAATTCAGTCAGCTTAGGGGAGCTTCTTGGCGTGATACAGAAGGATGGGGTAGAATATAGGTGTGTAAGTGCAAACCTCTAATCCTCAAAACTCTGCTCAGCTGTTGCTTTCCTGAATTCCCTAAACACCTCTGACATTAAATACTGCAGGCTGCACTGAAAGGGCTGAGAAGTTACGAACCCTGTTTCCACTGCCCCCCAAAAGAATACCTAACCATCAGGTACAGGGGCTTCAACAGGAGAGACCTGGAACAGCCCTAGCCCCGAGATCATTCCTAGTGCATTCTTAGAAAATGGAGGGGAATGTTTGCACCTGATCAGACAGTAGGCTCGTATCTAGCCCTGTGTTCTCAATGAGTACTCTTGGCTGCTGAGCTGCAGTGCAGAAACAGGTACTGGTATCATCTCCATAAAGAATATGATAGCTTGTTTTTTTAAAAGTAAGCATCCAAATCTTGTAATGGAGGCTTCAAATCTGTGAATCCTAAGTGGAAGAAGGCATTTAACTCCTGGGAAAGAACAGGATTTAAGGCATGCTCCTGTTCTCAATGCTTATTAGTAAGCTGATTGCCAGTGCTGCTTTCTGTGAAGCCCAGCCTTTCCCTTTTCCCCTGGCTGTTCCCAAAAGTGAGCTGGGGCACTGAACTCATATCTCTGGCTGTTTTCCTCCTACTGTGTAAGAGGAGGAACCAGCCTCACGTTCATTGTGGAGCTACTGGAAGCAGCTTACACACTTGTATTCCTAGCCAGCTGCATCATGGTCACTGTTCCGGTTTTATTCTCTACTTTAATGACAGGAACCTATCCTGTAGCAAGTCCTGTGCAAACATGCACCTCAGTACAATCTTGCTGATGGACTGAGGCCCAAGTTTGGGGGGAAACAAGATAGAGGGCCAGAGCTAACTCCAGTGACACGTAGAGCACGGTGCTAAGAGAAGACAAACCACAGGCTGCTCAATAGTCAAGGAAAAGGAGGAAGTTTAGGGAGTCCTTATACTGACATCATACTTAGGATGGTCTGAAAATAACCTGTATTACGCTTGTTGTTTACTTAAAAATTGTTAGTTGGGCTTTTAACACCAAACCTGAGAAGTACCTTGAGTTAGTCCCTGCTGGGAAGAGGTTCACAGCTTTAATTAACAACTGTAAATCATCTTCCGGCCAATTTTTGCTTCCCCCTCCACCACCAGTAGTTGACTTTTCTGAACTCTTTGTTGCTTGGCGCATACGAGCTTCTGCCTCTTCTTTCTCTCGCCTTATTTGTTCATTTATTTCTTCTATCTGAAGGATTGTAAACAAGCATTATTTATTTATTTATACATTTTACAGTGACACAAACCTCTCTCTCTGGAATTGCTTTGAGCCTTGAATTTTGCTTAGTTTCTGTTCCATACATTATACATAAGGAAATGGAGGAGCTTATCTGCTTCAGTATTATTTCCCTCCATCCCGTGCGTAAATTTGGCCATCCCAGATCAGGAGCTACAGCA